CACTATTCGTTGGAAAAAGAGTAGCCCAAGAGTTTGTGTTGGATGGTGATGACTAGCTGCTTTCCTTCTAGTCATTCAGTGTTAAATTAGAGACGGTTAGCGCAAGTAGTCCTCGTGCAGCTTTGCGCAGAAATTCAAAACAAACTAACCTTATTTATTTAGTGTTAGTTAAAGAGTATCAGAATCCAACGAAACCAACACATCATTATTTATATAATGCCAGTTATACAGCATCCAACGAAACCAACGCATCATTATTTAGTGCTAGATATAGGCCATCCAACGAAACCAACGCATCATTATTTATTTAGTGCTAGATATAGGCCACCCAACGAAACCAGCGCATTCTTATTTATTCAATGCTGGTTATACAGTATCAGAATTCAACAAAACTAACGCATTCTTATTTATTCAATGCTAGTTATAGAGCATCCAACCACACAAACGTATTATTACTTATTTAGTGCTTATTATACAGCACCCAACCAAACCAACGAATCATTATTTATTTAGTGCTAGTTATACAGCATCCAAACAAACCAACGTATCATTATTTATTAAGTGTTAGTTATAGGGCATCCAACCAAACCAACGCATTATTATTTATTTAGTGCTATTTATGCAGCATCAGAATTCAACGAAACCAACACATTATTGTTTATTTAGTGCTATTTATACAGTATAAGAATTCAACAAAAGAACGCACCATTATTTATTTAGTGGTAGTTATAGTGCATCAGAATTCAACCAAACCAACGCATTCTTCCTTATTTAGTCCTCGTTATAGAGCATCAGAATTCTACAAAATCAACGAATTAATATATATTTAGTGCTATTTAAACAGTGTAAGTACTCAACAAAACCAACACATTATTATTTATCTAGTGCTATTTAAACAGTGTAAGAATTCAACAACACCAACGTATTATTATTTATTCAATGCTATTTATACAGTATCAAAATTCAAAAAACCAATGCATTATTATTCATTTAGTGCAATTTATCCAGTATCAGTATTCAACAAAATAATCGCATGATTATATATTTAGTGCTATTTATACAGTATCAAAATTTAACAAAACCAACGCATTATTATTTAGTTAGTGCTTGTTATAGAGCATCAGAATTCAACAAAACCAAAACATTATTATTTATTTAGTGCTTATTATAGAGCATCAGAGTTCAACAAAACCAACGCATTATTATATACTTAGTGCTATTTGTACAGCATCAGAGTTCACTAAAACCAGGCCAGGCATGGCCAGGTGGTTAGATCGCTCGACTCGCAATTTGAGTGTCGCGGGCTCAAATCCCCGTTGCACCAAACTTGCTCGCCCTTTCAGCCGTGGGGGCGTTATAATTGACGGTCAATTCCACTATTCGTTGGT